ATATATATATATATATATATATATATATATATATATATACACACTATCTTCTTACCTATAAAAACGTAGAGCTATCTCTGGCTGGTCAGAGTAAAAATGATTACTTGCAATGCATGCAATGGCTTCCACATGGGTATTATCTTGTTTTAAGACATCTTTATAGTATTCTGCAGCCGTAGAAATGTTGTTCATTTCCTATAAACAGATGAAAAGATAAAAGTATTTTAAATTAAACATGATTAATAAAAACAAAGAGAGTGTTGTGATTCCTTAAATATCCTTCAAATGTAGTTAGGGTGAATAAAAATACATCTCTTCTAATTTTACTGAACAAGAACAAATAAATTTGAAAAGATGTGCATGTATGTATTAATCACATATAATTATAAGTTTTTCTTTTATATGTTCACCATTTTTTCTAGCTTACTAAAAGTAAGTAGCCATATGTTTTTGGTTATTTCCTATTTCAGTACTACATAACAACATCCATTTTCTTCAGCAAAGAAACAGCCTTTTCTGCTTGTTTATATAATTTTCTGTCAGTTGTTACCAAAAGATTTTTAAAAGATTTATTTCCTACAGTAGAACACATATCATATCTAATCTCTAAACAGGCAATCTTAGACTCAGTTTAGGAATGATGACCTCGTTTCTTAACCAAGCGAGTGTAGGATTGTATGGTAATGACTCCTTTGTCCAAGCAGTTACTTCAGTGGAAGCTAGAAGAGCTGTAACTCAATGATAAACTAAAGTACCAAATTTCAGTTCTTGATATTTAGATTTTAAACCTAAAGCTATTGCAACAGTTTAAAAAATACTAGAGGAGGAATTGCTGAAGCTAGAGAATAGGTCAGCTCTCCTATTCTTACATTTTAGGACAAAGAAGCTATAAGCCTAGTTTTAAAGTTGCTCCCCCATTCTGCCTCCTTACCATTAACTTATCTGCACATATTTGTGCTACAATTTAAAGCAAACAACTGTTTGAGGGCATACTCATCAATTATCCTGTTGATGCAGGAGAAAAACTTGATTTGCATACCTCATGAATCCTGGCCATGCCACAAAGGAGGAAAACTTCTCCAGGAAATCGTTCTAAACCTTGTTTGAAAACATTTAAAGCTGTCAAAGGCTGATCCAAGCGGGAATATACCTGGCCAAATACATGGGTATAGTTCCATCAATGTTAAGATTTTTATAATAACTATAGCCATGAAAATCAGCTGCCAACTAAATCATATATACATATATTAAGTCTATGCATACAGCTACATTTAAAGTTAGAAAACAATTCTCCATATTTTGCCTCTGCATATATTCCAGGATAAAATTCAGATAATGCCACACCACCATATCAACATGGTTTTAAAAATACTAGCATTCTTTTTACTCCTCTAAAATATTTAATGCAGCTGTTTTGTGTCCCTCCGCAGAACTACCGTCGGAGGATAAGACGCACCTTTCCCCCCCCTAAAAGAGGGTGAAAATTTGGGTGCGTCTTATACACCAAATGTAGCCCCACCCACCCACCAGCCCCCACCCTTTGGCCTCTGCTCTCAGCAATTTACCTCTTTGCAGCAAACAGCGGAGGCTTCAATAAGCTATAGCAATCTCTGCAGCCCCAACAGCTGATCATAGGGAGAAATTGAAAGTAAAACTTGCTGTTTGCTCCACATGGCAAATAGCTGGGAGGCAGCTGTTTTCCTCCCCCAAATCTAGGTGCGTCTTATATTCTGGAGCGTCTTATACTCCAAAAAATAGGTAGTTCATTTATTCCAGCTCATGATACCACTGGTTACATTTTTTCACCTTGGATAGCAGGCTTCTCTGTTAGGCCTTCAGCAAGACACAGCAGGCAGTGAGCTTTCAAGAGTGACAGGTTAGCAGTATGGTCTTATATATTGGATATTTCTTCAGGAGACTGATCTCAAATAACTAACTTATTTGTTAATGCTTGTACATGGGATGGGTAGGTGGGGGAAACCATACAAAAACATTTCTATTGCCACCAGCATCACAGCTAAACAGGCAATGCAATGATATTCTAAACCTAGATTTACCCAGGTGTTGCAAATAGCAGTAGCAGTAGAAAAAGCTTCCAAAGTATCCTTTCTTACAGGAGATTTTAAAAAAGCATTAGCAACTGAAAAACTAATTATTTTAACAATCTTGCAAAAATTTAATTATAATCCAAGAGTTCCAAGCCATTTGTCTAAAATAATGATTTGTAATCATTTTTAAATTACAAATGCCAACTTACTTTTGCCAAGTACAGTACTGTATCTACCATATATTGTTGTCTGAGAGCTGATTTAAACTGTGTTTCTGCTTCACGGTATAATCCTAATCTGGAAAAATTTATAATGAAAATTATATTAAAGCCAACAAACTAATAGTAAATGGGTTATATTTTACAATAATTATACATTAAAACCACTAAAAATGAGAATATATATTCTACAAGTTACTTGATTTGTAAAAATGAAATTAAAAAGGCTAAATAACAAAATGAGATAAGATAAATGCTTTTTTATGTTCCAAATAAAATAAAAGTAGCTACTAATTATGACCTTTAAAGCGCTCCATGGCTTAGGCCCAGGATACCTGCGAAACCACCTACTGCCACCAGTAGCCTCCCACCGTCCAGTGCGATCCCACAGAGTTGGCTTCCTCAGGGTGCCATCGGCCAGACAATGTCGGCTAGCGACCCCCAGGGGGAGAGCCTTCTCTGTGGGAGCGCCTTCCCTCTGGAATGAGCTGCCCCCAGAGCTTCATATAATCCCCAACCTCCGGTCCTTCTGATGCACCCTAAAAAGTTGGCTTTTCCAGCAAGCCAGCCTGGCCTGAACAAAACAAAATAAATTATTGATCATTGTTAATTTTAATTCGATTTTTTTTAAAAAAATGTTATTGTTAATTCTAAATGGGTTTGTTTGGGATATTCTATTTAATTTTTTTTAAAACTTTTGTATTATATGTTTCTTTTAATGTTGTACGCCGCCCTGAGTCCTTGGGAGAAGGGTGGCATATAAATCTAATAAACTAAATCAAACCACACCTACTCAATAAAGAAAATGCAGAAAATGATATAATTTCTACTTTAGGTAGGTTTTTTTTTTTCTAAAAAGGAGATATGTTACAAACATGTACAATAATTATGAAGAGTAAAATGAACGGGAAATATAAAAACTTGCAACTGATTAATATATATATGTATGTGTATGTGTGTGTGATTTAATATATATTAATGAAATAATTACACATACACACTCACAAAGGTAGTCCTTGACTTACAACAATTGAGCTCAAAATTTCTTAACCCATTTGTTAAGTGGATTTTTTCCCATCTTACGACCTTTCCTCAGTTGTTAAGTGAATCACTGCAGTTGATGAGTTACTAACCTGATTGTTAAGTGAATCAGGATACCTCACTGATTTTCTTTGTCATAAAATCGTGAAAAGTGATCACATGACCCTGTGAGACTGCAGTTGCTAAGCATCTGAATTTTGATTTCATGATCCTGCAAAGGTCATCACTGAAAAAAGGTCATGCCACTTTTTTCAGGGCTGTTGTAACTTTGAACGGTCACTAAATGAACTGTTGTAAGTTGAGGAATATATTTGTATTCGGGTGTATTTGGAGGAGTTAAAATTCCAGGACTGGATAAATTACAACATCATATTGAAAAAAACTTGCTGATGGTTTGAACTTTATATATACAGAAATCCTGTGAAATGGGTGAAGTGCTAGGCAATTGAGGTGGTAAACACTCTTCCCAATTTTTTTTAAAGGAGGGAATTTAGTCCACGTTCAGCAAATCAGTTAAGGTACCCTTAAGTATCCCAAGGGAGTCTAATTAGCAAGTTAGCAAAGTATGAGATGGATGGAGTGATAATTAAGTAAATTTCCTTGAACATTCCATTTAAATAGCGCTCATTAATGTTTGTTCATCCAACTGTGAAGAAATATAAAGTGAGTACCGCATGGTTCAATCTTGGATTCTGTATTCTTCAACACTTTTATTAATTATTTAGATGAACGGTGGAGGGAACATTTATATAATTCACATATGACATAAAATTGGATGGGATATAAAGGTAGACAAATTCGGTTCCTGGTTTACCTGTAATAACACTTCCCAATTTGCACTTTCCACCACCAGTCCTTGAATTGGGCATACTGTGTGGCATATGCTGCCAAATCTAAAGCCTTGAAAGGGAAGCAAATTTACAAAGGTCATCTTCAATTTTGGGAGAAAAAAAACATATACACTGAATATTTAGCAGGTTGTAAAAAAACTATAAGATTAAATCAGAGAAATATATTAGATTTTCCCTTTTCTTTAACAAAAGAATCATTGATGGCATTTTAACCTATTCAAACCTGAAAGCTTTCTTAATAAAGGCATTTGAAAAATTGCTCAAACTGCTCTACCCCTTATATAATTTAATATTTTCCATTTTTAGTACTAATTCCTTAAATTGGATCATTCCAACCATTTAGTACATGCATAATTAAATATTGAAAAAGTTTACATAAATTTTCTGTAGTTAATTGCAAGTTCAGCATTTTGTGCAAAGGCATAAATACTTCCCTAATCCCTCATATGCTCCAATTTTTCATTATGGAACACATCACATCCATAATTCACTACAGCCTCCTCTATTTATATAAACAAGGCATGCCCTTAATGAAAAGCAAACTTACAACAGTTTAGATAAATGAGCTACTTTTTTAATACAATAAATTATTTTGAGAAAAGCATCAAGAAACCTGAATGATATACAATACAATAACAGAGTTGGAAGAGACCTTGGACGTCTTCTAGTCCAACCCCCTGCCTAGGCAGGAAACCCTATACCATTTCAGACAAATGGCTATCCAACATCTTCTTAAAGACTTCCAGTGTTGGGGCATTCACAATTTCTGGAGGCAAGCTGTTCCACTTATTAACTGTTCTAACTGTCAGGAAATTTCTCCTCAGGTCTAAGTTGCTTCTCTCCTTGATTATCTTCCGCACATTGCTTCTTGTTCTACCCTCAGGTGTCTTGGAAAATAGTTTGATTCCCTCTTCTTTGTGGCAACCCCGGAGATATTGGAACACTGCTATCATGTCTCCCCTAGTCCTTCTTTCTATTAAACTAGACATACCCAGTTCCTGCAACCGTTCTTCATATGTTTTAGTCTCCAGTCCCCTAATCATCTTTGTTGCTCTTCTCTGCACTCTTTCTAGAGTCTCCACATCTTTTCTACATCGTGGTGACCAAAACTGAATGCAGTACTCCAAGTGTGGCCTTACCAAGCATTATAAAGTGGTATTAACACTTCACGTGATCTTGATTCTATCCCTCTGTTTATGTAGCCTAGAACTGTGTTGGCTTTTTTGGCAGCTGCTGCACACTGCTGACTCATATTTAAATGGTTCTCCACTAGGACTCCAAGATCCCTTTCACAGTTACTACTGTTGAGCAAGGTACTACCTATACTGTACCTGTGCACTTCGTTTTTCTTGCCTAAATGTAGAACCTTACTCTTTTCATCATTGAATTTCATTTTATTAGATAGTGCCCAATGTTCAAGTTTGTCAAGATCCTTCTGTATCTTTAGCCTATCTTCTGGAGTGTTGGCTATTCCTGCCAGCTTGGGGTCATCTGCAAATTTGACGAGTTCCCCATTTATTCCCTCATCCAAATCATTGATGAAGATGTTGAAGAGTACTGAGCCCAAAACAGAGCCTTGGGGTACTCCACTGCATACTTCCCTCCATGAAGATGCAGTTCCATTGAGGACTACACATTGAGTGCGGTTGGTCAGCCAGGAATATTAGGAATTAAAATCCTGGATGGCAATGGGGGAAGAAGGGAAGGACTAACATTTAATTGATTATGTGTTTTATATACTGATAAGGCTGGGAGACTTTTAATGACTTAACCAGCATTTGATCACATCAGGTATCAGTATGCTACCAGTATTCAATGCCATATTTAGATATTTTAGCAATTAGATTACTTCTAGACAATTAAGAATCAGAAAGTAAAGAATGAATGCTAGTTCCCAGTATTATTCCTATCAAAAATTATATAGAAATTAAAAGTCAGTAGTGCAGAATTAATTTTAATAAAAAATAAACAAGGAGGGAGTTACCAGTAGCTTATATGCAGAGGATATGGACACATAAAGCTGTGTTGTGCAGACAATCTAACCCTTATTTTCTGCATGAGTAAACTATCATCCATAGTTTTGCATATCCATGAAGAAACAAAAAACAAATCCCAAACTGCAGATATAGAAACACATTTATGCTAAGACCTTGTCTCACTGCAGACGAAAGCCACTTGTATTTCTTGGCAAATGTCAAGAAAAGAAAAATAAGACATCTTCAATAAAGCAATGAAGCCACACACTATTCTCTTTCATAGGACAAAGGTGTAATAATTTTAATTCTTCTCTGTGATCAACATATTAAGTCATTTAAATACTGATTAAAATTCAGATCAATTCCTTTGGGCAATGAAGTCTCTCACCATATTTATAGGCAAAGACAGTTTGCCAGAGTTAATTTACCCTTGAACTCAGTAAATCCCAAAGCTTTTCAAGATGCAAATGGTTTTGAATTTCCATTCTAGAACTCTGTTACACTGCAATAAAAAGAGGGGGGATATTTACAGTATTGTATGTGATGTATCAACATCTCATTGTTGCCTAAATCTGATATCCAGTCTTCCACAAATCTACACTAGGAAGGAAAAACAAGAATGATAGGCTGGTATTTCTTTAGAATAGTTTGTTTGCATAACTGAACTACTTAATTGCAAAATCTATTGGAAGAGTCCAAGGTATCCTATTTTGATACTTTAGAAAAATGTGAAAACTTCCATGTTGAACATTACAACCTCCTTTCAGAGTCTCTTCATTCATACAGCTTCTGTCATCCTATCTTTTTTTTTTTTGCAATATAGTTTATTCATACCATGCACACAGACACATGTACGTATGTATGTATGTGTATGTGTATGTATGTGTGTGTGCGTATGTATATCTATCTATCTATCTATCTATCTATCTATCTATCTATCTATCTATCTATCTATCTATCTATCTATCTATCTATCTATCTATCTATCTNTCTATCTATCTATCTATCTATCTATCTATCTATCTATCTATCTATCTATCTATCTATCTATCTATCTATCTATCTATCTATCTATCTATCTCCAGGGAGTTTTTCCAGTTTAGAAATAATAAACATTTGGTGTTCCTACTTTTATTTTTAATACTTTAATACTTATTTTAATATAGAGATGGTTTTCCTTAAAAACGCTTTTAGACATCAATATATTTCATGAAGCTGAAGATTAAGGACATATTATCATGGAAAAATCTATCCACGTTTGTTAAGAACTGACACTGATTTGATGGAAATCAATCAATCAATCCATCAGTATTTCTTTAACACGAAAAGGCAACTGTTTTCAGAAACCAGTTGATTTCAGAAACCATCTGTTGATTTCAACTGACCATTATATTTTTGGGGGGCAAACAAGAATCATTTGAAAAACAAATTAAGTTTAAATTATTTAACATGAAAAAACTGAACTCAACCAAAAGCAATACATTGTATATTTTTCTGAAGGAAGAAAATGCAGTACCATTATCATAGATGAAAGCAATAAGGAATTTGTTTTCTTCAACTCTTACATATTTCTCACATTCAAAATAAAAACAGAAAGAACATTAACCTTTTTTAAATAACTATACTTACATTCTTAACATCACTCTCATGATGAAAAATGTATTCAAACAAAGCCTGTGAAAAAACAAATATAAAATATGTCATCAAATTGGTGGCAAATAAGATCTACTTACATTTAATTAGAAATAAGTATTTTATTAGCTCATTTAAAATTAAAAGCAGATTTAGTAAAAATATTGAATGCAATAAAGAATTCACATTTCAAAAAACTATGTAATGTTATTGCCTTGTTAGGCAAGAATTCTTAATCTTAAACCTGAAATTAATTAATTACAATTTATAGACCATGTGATTCCCAATGACTCAGGGCAGTTTACAATTAAAAGGAGAAAATACAAATACAAAAACCAAAATATAAGCACCCCAAAGGAAAATACAGTATATACTCCCCAAACCAAGCAGCCAATTAGTCGACAGAGGCTGACACATCATTCTGTTCCAAAGCCTCGGAGAAAGCTAGGGAAACTGTATATTTTTATAACTTGCTGTTACTGTATTTATCACAGAAGAAAGGGGGGTGGGTGTTCATTACTGAAAAACTGGATGCTCTGAAAATTATCTTGGAAGATCAACTTTTGCTTTGAACAACTGATCACACTGTAAAAACAGATAGTCCTCAATGTACAATGGTTCAAATTAACGACAGCCTAAGAAAGGGTGTTTTACGCCCTGTAAAGCACATCCAGTTGTTGCCAAAGGTCACATCACCATCTTGCAATCACACGATTGCCATCTGGTACTTGGCAACCTGTTTGCACTTACAATAACTTGCCAAGTGCCCCATAATTATATGATTACCATATACAATCTTCTCTGCCAGCTTCTCCAGAAAACCAATGGGGAAACAGGTAGGGAAGGGTGCAAGCTGCTGCCACCTACCAAGAGAATACACTCTCATCTTAGGAGGTTGGCTGACAAAAAGCTCCCTGCAGGAGGATTTCGGCTCCATGCTTGATTTCATGGAACTGAAATCCTTCATGCCTGCTTTCATACAGCTGAAATCCTTTTGCAGAAAGCTCTCTGCTGAAGCATTCCAGTTTGAGCTGAAATCCTTCAGCAGGGAGCTCTTTCACTGAGCCTCTGGAGATGAAAGAGAATTGAAATCAAAGTAGCATTTTCAGCCGTGAATGGAAAGGTGGTAAAGTAAAAAGTATAGGGTGTCTCAGGGGTAAAGGGGACGCCCTTAGAGGCCTGGTGCAGGTTGTATGCAAGTGTCCTTCCTCATTCAGGGGCTGAAAATACTGCTTGGGTTTTGGCAGGGAGGATTTTCATTCCTGAGTGGAGAGGCAGCAAGGTAAGGTGAGAAGTACAGGGTGTCTGAGGGGTATAGGGAAGGCCAAGAGGCCTGGTGCAGGCTTCATGCGTCTTTTTACTTTCTGGGCTGAGAAATTGTACTACACTGAATTTGGGCATCTCTCTTGAAAAAAAAAAAACCACAAAAGCTATTAACACCTGTTTTAATTAACAGGAAAGACTTAAAATGAACAAATCAAGCATGGTACATTAAACAAGCACATACCTTTGCCAACTTTGGTTTTTGAGCATAATTATTTAAATTCAGTTTAGATATATTTATGAAAGGACCATCAGGATTAGTGAGCATGGAGGCCTGTGGTGGGAAAAAGCATCAAACTAAATGATACACCACATTTGAATTATAACTGGCAATACAGTATACAATTCTGAGAAATCAATATAGTGCCTATAAAAAAATATTACATGAGAATAAATTGTAACACTTGCACAACTCCCAGCTTTTGCCACTGCTCCTAGAGTTGAGTCAACTAGACTTTCATCTGCTCCTTAGTAGCAACAGAGGCAATGGAGCTTAACAGAAAATTGGCTCTATAGTGCCCATCCAGAGTCATATAACTCGGACAGCTCCCAGTAAACTGTAATCAATAGGAATCTCCCTTTCTGAAAAAATATTTATTTGCTTTACATCTTTCTTCTATTGTTAGCATGTCTCAGCTACCCAATAACAAAGGTCATTGGGTGGAATGAAATGTTACTACATAATAACGAGGACAATAAAATGGGAAGAATAGAGAGCACAGGAAAATATGGAACATATCATTTGTTATCTGTAACAGGCAGAGCAAGTACCAAACAGTAAAAAAAGACTATAATTTGCTTTAAAATTCAATACAAGGCAACTGTGAAAACATAATATTTATTTATTAATCAAAGGTATGTGATATAAAGCATTGCTAAATCCAATGGGGTTTACAGGACTATAATACCACACTGTGTTTTTTCCTCACTATTATGCATAAATGGATATTTGTGTATTTTGTGGAACATTTGATCTTTAAGCAATAATAAGCAAAGTCTATTAGTATTATATAGAATACCCATATTTTCAAAAGTCTGATCATGTAAACAAACAAAGATGTTATTAGTTTTAATATAGCAGGGAGGGGGGGAGTATCGGGGCGGCACACCTAATAATCCTTCCTATGCTGTATACATATAGTTCCAATTTCCAAGAATACAAACGTAGGAGGATCCTTACTGTTCCAAGCCTGACATATCTCCCTGAAGCACTAGTCATTGGACGGGCAGTGTGAGCAGTTCTTGGAGTCTTTAAGGCTTGTTCAATGCTACCTGGTCTCCCAGCCTGCGTGCTGGGTCGTACAAAACCTGTCAGGGGTCGCCCTGTTTGTGTCACTGGCCTGCAATGATCCAAACATGGAAGAGTATCATGATAAAATGATAAACAGAAGCATTTATTGCTATTTGCAAAATCAAAAAGAGTACAGATTGCCATATGGAACTATTAATATATAGATATACATGCCTTAAATCAATTTCCTATGCACAAAATGATGTATTACATTTATCATTATTAAGTACACACCCATATAGGATTTACTCACTACCCCATTAAATGTAACTTACATAATTTTTTTTTTTTGAGGGAGAACATCTGTGTTATCTTTTACAATGTGAGACCTCTTTTTGTATTCCTATTTTTGTTTACACTTTTACTGCTTGTAATGTATTCCCAAACTTATTTGGCTATAGAACATGTTGGGCTTTGAATATATTGACAAAATGCATACCTACGAGTAGTTTCTTATTTCATTAAAGACTACAACAAAGTTGTGGATTTGTCATCCATAATGAGACAGAAAAATATCCCAGCACTTTCTGTTCCACTATAGAGAACAAAAATCATTTTAAGTTTGCATACTTTTAGAGCAAGAAAAACACATTGAAAAAAATAATAATAAATAGATGGAAGCTCTCCTTCAGCTAATTGTCCTTTTATAATACAAAAAAGCAACAATGATATTTTTTCACAGAACTTTATTAAATCTCTGATGGTATTTCATAGAATGTAATCTAGAAAACTGATTTCCAACTAGATATCACACTTGCAATTTGAGGTGGTGGTAAAATTAACAATGTATTTTATATGTCTATTTAACAAAGCACAGCTGAATAATTTCTTGACCCAAAGTTCAGTCCATGACTACAACTTGATAGACATTTCTGAATATATAGGAACAACCACAAAGGAGCTATAAAGAACTGCTATGATTCCTATAAAATTTATTTACAGAGATTCAATTTTTTTAAAATTTTTACTCCATTCTTTGGCAAGAAGACTTCTAAAGTAACTTAAAATATAAATAATTAGATAACTCTTGCCAGTTCTTAGGCTTACGATACACAAAATACAGGACAAAATGGGAAGGGCTGAACAGGGAGAAAGAAAGAAAAACACCAGCTTATCTTGACTAGTTCAAATGAAAAGAATTTAATAGTAGCTGCCACCTGGATGACAATTACAAAAAGCTCAAATCAGCTAGTCTCAAAATGTAAGAAATAAAATACATCTATTTCTCTCTGTAATAATTCTATGTGAAGATTATCACTTATGTACAAGAAAAAAATATTACCAAATCAGTTAACCTCACTAAGAAACTGAGTACAGTACCTGATAGCCTTGCTAGGCCCAGCACCATTACCAGTTCCAGGCATTTTAAGTGAAGTACCAGGTCCTATCAAACAAACAAACAAAGAAACAAAACAAACAAAATCATGTTTATAGGTACTTTCCTATATATCTTTCTTTTTCCATTTATCTTTTGGTTCCCTTTCCCAGGTATTTTTTAAAATAAAAATCCAAAGAGAGAAGATGCAAAGCACAGATGAATAGTGAAGTGCCACAAATAAAATCTAATGCTATTATTTGTTTGTTTAAAAATGCACTGCTTCATTTAACCACGACATCGTAATAGGACTCAGAATCAGTCAAAACTGTAAAGGGAAGATAATCCCCTTATGCAGAGAAAATGTTACCTGTGCAGAGCTGGAATTACATTCATAATTAAAACTGGAGATTTTAATTAGTGCACTGGGGATTTTTCTTGAAGATCAATTTCTTAGCTTGTTGCTGTATTGATCAAATACAAAGTGTACAGGAAGATTATTTACTCACTAAAGGCAATTGATATTTTATAGGCATATGAACATTTTAACACGAAATGCAAGCTTGAATTCTAAACTGCAATATTGACATAAAAATGTATTACTTCACTGTATTATGTATTATATCACTGAAGATAATAATTTTAAAGAAAAGAAAATGCAAGATAATAGTTTAATATTGATAGCAGTCACTCATTCCATAGAACAGCCTTTAGAGAAAAAAGAAATTAACCATTGAAAAGGAATGTTGGAAAATCCTAAAAGGGAATCATGAGTTGCTTCTTGCAATAGATTTTGGAGCAGATATAAATGCAGCTTACGTGCAACTTGTGCAATTGCATTTTCATCCAGCATCATTTCAGCTATGCCTTCCTGATCCACTTCAATTTCATCCACATAAACCATTTCCGTCAATGCTCGCATTTTTAAACACCATGCAGCCTAAAATAAAGATGGAGAGGAAACAAAGCCCAGTAAACTAAAATGTCTACAAAATGCTTTCAAATCAAATAGAACACAATAGGCCAGCAGTTGATTATTTGACACTTGTGAGAAAAGAAAAAGGGCTTTGGGATACTGAGATCTTGGCTGCATTATAGTCTTCAATGCAAATATTACATAGAAAACATTTCAGAACTACTAGAGAAATAGGTGAGGAGGACCTCAAGAAGAATGCAGAGAACGCATTCACAAAGGCTCAGTCACTCCCAATATTACATTTGAAGGGAGAGTATCATGTACTCTACTTCCTCCCTCACCTATAAGCAATAGAAAGTGTTCCATTTCAAATTAGGTAGAATCTGTAGGTGATACTATTGAATATTTAACTACATATTGATAAGGAAATAAAAGGATTTGTGTAGCTGAGCAGATAGTAAATGATGCTGGGTACAAGACACAGGTAACACCAGGTGTAATTTCTAGGTGCTGGTGGTTACCTTTAACGCCCATCAGAATGAGGATACCTGAGAGATCACCTTTTTTTTCAAGTCTCTACCCATCCAACCAAGCTGAGCAGAATGGACATGCAGCAGATCCCGTGAGCCAAAAAATGTTGGCTGGTGGGGATCAGAAGGTAAGCTTTTTCTGCAGTGGCCCTTGCTCTAGGGGACATTCTTCCTCCAGAGATCAGTATGGTCCCAACTCTGTTAGCTTTTTGCAAGGCCCTAAAAACCTAGGTATACCTCCACTTATGACCACAATTGAGCTCAAAATTTATGTTGCTAAATTTGTTAAGTGAGTTTTTCCCCATTTTATGACTTTCCTTGCCATATTTGCTAAGTGAATCACTGCAGGTGTTAAATTAGTAATATGGTTGTTAAATGGATGTGATTTCCCCATTGACTTTGCTTGTCAGAAGTTGAATAAATAAATTTATGCATTTTAGAACTCTATACAAATCAGTTTGACTTCATATTGCACACTGGATATCATGTGATCACTCTTAGAACGCTTTGTCTTAGCAGCCAGATTCCTGAAGCAATGAAGCCAATTAAGATCCCAAGTTGCCTCCCCTTCCCCCTTCTTTCCAGTCATCTTCAGAAATAACACATCAATCTAGGAATAATATGCTGATCTTGTGCATTAATTCATCCTGATGACAGGGTGGAGGTTTACCTGCTTTAAGCACAAATAACAAATGTAATAAAAGACTTAGTTGGAGAAGAGCATATATTACAGGCCTGCTTTATTGTACTGATTCATTCACTTCTTAAAATACATTTTTGTATCAAAATAAACTTAAGATGGGCCTATATGGTATTTATTTTGTAATACATTCTAACTATATGAAATCATTTAAATATGTCCAAAAGGTTGAGAGGATTGTAATAGATAGTCCCAATAAATATTAACATTAATGATAGCCAATAACCCTGTTTCCATATAATTCTTTTTACAATTTTTATCCAACCTTTATTTTTATAAATAACTCAAGGCAGAGAACATGTCTAATACTAAAATGGTGAAATGGGAATCATAGAGAATCCTAGTGAATCTTACTTCTTTTTTAAACAAAAGTGTACTTAATATAAATGAAAAATGAAGAGGCCTTCCTTTCTCTTGGCGAAGAGTCAGCTTGATGGTACATGCCTGTTATTTCTCAGTCATAAGCCATAATGTGATTTATTTATTATTATGTGCAAGCTTGGCCACTAGTTTTTTGTTTAACCAAATGTCCTAATTTAGTTTTATATATAAACTCAGTCAGTGAGTAAGTAACAATGACTGATTTAGAAATTATATAGATAGTTAGGGCTCATACATATTAATCCAGTTTTCCTAGAAAATGGTTTACTGAACAAAACACAATGTATTAACTCATAAATCATAGCGAACAGACCACAAAAGCTGTATTCACGTAATGAAAAATCGAATAAACCATGTGAGTTAAATTTTGGCAAAAGATAAACTCAGATGTAATGCAGATTCAAATTACATATATTTTGAAAATAGTGTCATATGTGGGTATTTGCATAATTTTTTTATTTATTGATTTATTTTGTCATGTTTATGCATTGTATATTGGAAGTGGTGACCCTTTGAGAGCTGTAGGCAATGAAATTTCATTTTAATGTATGCCGATTAGTGTACATTCAAAATGACACTTAAGTTATAAGTCATGTAAACAATTTTAAACATATTTATATTAAATCAATAAAATATAATAAATGAAGTGCTTAATCTCATATATTTTTCCAGAATTTATTAGAAAATGAATATATAAGTTATATAAACTACTATGTAACTTTTCTTAAAATACTAGTCTGTCTGGAGGAACAAAGAAGTATCAAATGAAACTTTCTATTTGCATGAAGTACTCTGTAACCTATGGTGACCTCCACTCCAAATCTCTTACTGGCTTATATATTTAATTATTTAAAACATTTATATAGCTGTCCATCTTATAGCAAACTTGGGGAGGGGGGCTCCAAATTAAAGCAGCATAAAAGCCATACTAAAATTATAAAAACCAAACCCATTTTTTAAAAAAATGGTGCCAAAGCCAAGTTTTCAATATACAATCACCTCATGTTATCCCAGTGCTTGTTGGAAAAGCCAAATCTTCAGGACTTTATGGAAGGCTGGGAGGTAGAGACCTACCAACACTTCAGGTGGAAGTGTTGCACAGGACAGGGCAGCCATAGAAAAGGCTCACTTCCTAGCACCCACACAATGGCAATATTTAAGAAAAGGGTCTAGAAACATGGCTACACTATCTGACCTAGCAGGATGGATAGATATCCTAAGGGAAAGGTCATATACCCTTGGCCTTATGTGATATTTAATATTAACATGATATGTACCTTAAATCGCACCTGGAAAGAAATAGAAGCCAATACAGCTCACACATCAGAGATGTTACATGGGCAAATCTATGGACACCCATAGCTGCTGCCATGTTCTGAATAATTGAAGTTTCGGGGTACAATTCAAGGGAAGATTCATGCAAGAGAGCATTGCAGTAATCTAAAGAATTTTATCAGTTCTGATAAGGGAGTAAATTGCTGGAAAATATATTTGTTAAATAGTAAAGCATTTAACTGTCTTTTATAAGAATGAAGATTCGTTCTCCAATCTTGTGGGTTGGTTTCCGAACATTTCGTTACCACATAAAGTTAAAGTAAAATCAGCAGTGAAATATTAGGATGAGCTAAGAAACTTTAAAATCAAAATCTGAAAATTAAAATATGTACATTTGCAAAGAAAACCATAAAATTATGCAATTCAACATATGCTGTTCATCTATTTTTCTTTGAGTACTTCAGTATTATAAATCGGTACTGTTTCCTGGTCTTTAAATTGACATATGGAACATAAAGAACAATAATCAGATTAGGCAAGCGATCAGGATGATCAACCAAGATAGTAAGACAGAAATATGTTCCTTTTAGGTCATGCTATAGTTATAAACAAAGAAGCTACAATGAGTTTAATAAGGTTAATGAACGATTATTTCTGGCAGTAATAGCTGATTTAGACCCTTTCACAAAAATTAATTTTAAATAAAGTATGTTTACTTAAAAGGAAATCCTACTAAATTTCCTGAATCCTGCCCTCTAGTATCAGAAACACATTTAATTGAAGACACAATGCACACTTCATCATTATCATATTTAAGAATGGATTCATATAGTTGCTTCCCAGTGAGTTAGCATTCTTTCTGAATTACAGAAAGAAAAACAAAGAGGAAAACAACGCCTTAATTTTTTTAAAAACAACAACAGCAAAATGTTGACTAGGAAAGGGATAAAGGGGACAGTATTAATGTGAAATAAAGACATAATATCAAAAGTGCTTTTGATATTATTTTGGAATAAAATAAACAGATCAGGCCTGTGTTGATTGTCTGATATTAAAGGGGAAAAATTGAATTTACAAAATAAGATAAATGTAATAGGACTATGTCATTAAATCTATGAAAAGACAAAATGGATTAAGGGTATAAAGAAAGAGAATGAAGAAAGAAATCCAAAAAGCCTGCCAGACTATTAAATGCTGAAAAAATGGAAAGATTCTTAAATATCCACAGCAGAGAAATGATTGGTAAAGGTGAGAGAATTTAGCCGAGATGACAAAATAAATTAGAAAAAGATCAACAACTATATTTATCAGTGATTTGAAATCCCTTATAGACTTTTTGCTGAAAACAATATGTATGTATGTATGTATGTATGTATGTATGTATGTATGTATGCTAAATACAAAAAAAATGTACTAGAAAGACAAAAAGGCAAGTCTACATTAAAACAGTACATTTAGAAAACCAGGATGCCCCTTTTTTTAGCAATTTCCTAAAAAGGAGATGATGAAACGTAACTGCATTTTATGCATATAGAAAGGGTGATATAACACAATGAGAGTCATAGATTTAACATTGCTTATCAAAAGTGCAGAATATTATTGTGTACAGGACAGGAATAGACACTGAAAGTACATTAAGGCATGCTAAAGGCACAGCTTTTGTATATGTGAGGGCAGTTTTGATTTAGATAGCTTGCTGGCCTAAAAAGGAAGATGATTACTCTAAGGAGGACAGTTTGATCTCACTTTCTTTCCAAATTCATAGTACATTGCTTGGTATTAGGCACCACCCATCCATAACCAATCATCAAAAATATATCTTGTGCTTATGTTTATATTTCAAAACTTAATGCTCTGAAGATCTTATAAGATATGTTCCAATTCTGTAGTATGGATGTCACTTATATATCTAAAAGAATTATAGTGCAGAACCAGTTTCTGCAGCAAATAGCTTTTAGTATTTTAAGCAGAATACTTTTAAAGAGTTCTGAGGAACTGCCTCCCCCTTGATACAACGGCCTACCTCAATCTCACAGAGAATACCATCAGCTAGAGATTTACATTGGTGAGATCCAGAAGTACTTTCTCTATTGTTGCACCCACCTTGTGGAACATCCTTACTCCTGAAATTAGATTGGCCAGATCCTTTTTAATTTTTTTGAAAGGCCGTTAAGACCTGGTGTGCTGTTGGCCTTGGGCTCTTTTTAATATGGTTCTGCATTTCAGTTAAGCAAACATATGAGCTTCTTTAGGTGGAAACTTAATCATAAACATGTTGTTACTTTGGCTTTATCAATTTTAATGTTTGCTATAGATGCACAAGTAGTTGAAGCTTTTATCCTAGATAACATTTTAGTTTTAATTACAGCATGAGAGATAGTTACATATTTGCAGATTTTACACATCAAGCTCAGGTACAATGTGGTTGGTTTGGTTTTGACAGAGAGTAAGATAGTATAAAGCAAGTGCAATTTGTATGTTTTTCAAAACATTGTTTTTATAAGACTACTATAGTTATTAAAACTACGGTTAAATAAACCAGTTTAGCACCATTGCACAGAGGCCAAATAAGAGTTTTCTGTAATGTTCTGCTCCTATCTATGATCATCTGAATTTCTGCAACTTAGATCTGACAGTCCTAATAAAGGCCTCTGGACTAAACAAACTTCTTGTGATAGGTGGGGCAAGACTTTGCATCTGCCTTACATGCTATCCTTATTTATTAGATTTTCATCCCACCTTTATTACTTTACAAATAACTCAAGGTGGCAAACATACTAGTACTACTTCCTCCAATTTTTCCCACAGCAACCTTGTGAGGTGAGTTGGGATGAGAGTGCGTCTGACCCAAAGCCACCCAGTTGGCTTTCATGCCTAACACAGAATTAGAACTCACAGGCTCCTGGTTTCTAGGCCAAGAAACTATGGTACGTTTGTAACTTCAGACATGCAAGGTTCTGTTAACTTAGCCTCATAATAAAGTAAATTTAGCTCATCTAGTTGTATCCTGACTGGTTTACCTGGGATGGCTGACATCAGTTTTGCAACTTTAAAGGTAAAAACTTCCTGATGACACTTTTAAGAGTCTGATCAATTGGGGGGAGGGGGGTTTCCTAAGTTTTCTTTGTCTGACTATTAATTGATTGCAGGCTCCCCCCCCCCTTATCAGATAGGCTGCATTTATATCCCTTGTCCCCCAAAGTCATCCACACATTCATTCGGTTAACCATCGGTTAATGATGGTATTTGGGACCAACATTTCTGTCACTAAGTGAGTCATACAGCACATCACGACCATGCTGCTTAGTGACAGCACATCTGGCATGTTAAACCCTGCATCATTGTTAAGTGAGGACATCACGTGATCATCATCTGCAACCTCCTGCTGCTGTGATTCCTTGTAGGAAGCCAGAAAAGAAGGTGCCAATGGCAACCATGTGACCTCAGGATGTTGCAATAGCTGAAATTTTAAGCATTGGCATCAAGTACCAGGGATTCAGTGCCATCACATGTTTGAACGGTGGCTGAATGAGTGGTTGTTAAAGGAGAACCACCTGGATTTGACATCATGTCAGCTATTCATTGGTTTGTAACCTATCTCAAAATTATCTAATAATAAGCTATAAATGTATATTTTAATTAAATAAACTAGAATTTTGACATCTTGGGAGGTAGGGATTCCAGTTATGAGCACTGCTGGATTTAAAAAAAAAACACCTGGATTATTATCTTATTCCAGCTAATTCGCCGTACAGAATACGAAATGCAGGAAAGACATTTTACAAAACGTTCGCGCCGAAAAGCAAAAAGATCTGCATATATATATATAAAAAGAGCAGTTACTAAATCAAAGCATCCACCCAAGGCCCAGTTTTACATTTTTCCTGAACTCGGAAACATCACATCCAGGCGTCCAGCTTCTGTCCTGTCTCTCTTCATTACCTGATCGCCAGGCTCCTTTTCCAGCACCTGGGAACACAGATCCGAACAGAGTTGGAATTTCCTCCGCCTGAAATAACTCAAGGCGTGGAGCAACGGGTCCATTTCCATCCCCATAAACTACGCAGGCGACTAATAACGCCACGCTAACACACACACCCCCACCTCCTACTTAGGCCCCGCGTCTCAGCTTCGTTTTGCCCAGCAACGCTAACAGGGGTCCTTGGCGAAGCAAAGGCGACTAAGCAACTGCCTGAATGGCCAGAGATTGTGTTTCTCTCCTGTCTCGGAGAAGGGAACGGGCCGGAAGGGAGAGTCAAACATTTTAGCGCCAGCAATCACTGCTGAAACCTTTCGGGGTTGCGGACTACGACTGATTTCTCTGCCTTCCTCTCGTTATGTGGCATGAAAAATGCTAAAGTAGCAGATTTTAATAGAGCGCAGAACCAAGAAATTTCATGTGTTGATGGTTTTTTGAACTTCATAATCACTGCAGAGGAAATAACTTGGAGAAATAGAGTTAATATAACTTTATTTCTCAATAGCCGTTAATAATCATCTTTGATTAGTCATAGAAGATAAACGCATTTCATTATTTTTAACCAAATCAAACTTGAGAAAATAATATATTGCTTGGTGTATGATACGAGAATGTACTATGTGGTTAATTTGTGGTTCAGCGTGTTATGCAAAATCCTGAACATTGAGTTAACTCTGGAAAATCTGGGGACAATTTTTCTCTCCTTAAGGCTCAGGATTGTTACTGTTATGGATAAAATGGGGGTGGAGGTGGGAGAGAACACCAAGCTGGCAGGAATAGGCAACGCTCCAGAAGATAGGCTTAAGATACAGAAGGATCTTGACAGACTTGAACATCGGGCTCTATCTAACAAAAAATGAAATGGTGAAAAAAGTAAGGTTCTACATTTAGACAAGAAAAAGCAAATGCACAGGTATAGTATAGGTGGTAACTGGCTCGCTGGTAGTAACTGTGAGAGGGATCTTGGAGTTCTAGTAGACAATCACTTAAACATGAGCCAGCAGTGTGCAGCAGCTGCCAAAAAAGCCAACACAGTTGCATTAAAGGAGAGATAGAATCAAGATCACGTGAAGTGTTAATACTACTTTAAAATGCACTTGGAATACTGCATCCAATTTTGGTATCATGATGTAAAACAAAATGTTGAGACTAGAAAGTGCAGAGAAGAGCAACAAAGATGACATGGGGATTGGAGGCTAAAACATAAACAGTTGCCGGAATTGGGTATGTCTAGTTTAATGAAAAGAAGGACTAAGAGTGACATGATAGCAGTGTTCCAATATCTCAGGGGCCGCCACAAAGAAGAGGGAGTCAAGCTACTCTCCAATGCACCTCAAGGCAGGACAAGAAGCAATAGATGGAAACTAATCAAGGAGAGAAGCAACCTAGAACTATGGAGAAATTTCCTGACAGAACAATCACTGAAACAAATTGCTTCCAGTAGTTGCGAATGTTCCAATGCTGGAAGTTTTAAAGAAGAGATTGGACAACTATTTGTCTGAAATGGTACAGGTATAGGGTTTCCTGCCAGAGCAGGGGATTGGACAAGAAGACATCCAAGTTCAATTCCAACTGTTATTCTGTTCTGAAACTGTCCTTTACCCCTGTCTGAACCCTACTCAATAACTTAGTGATGTTTCACACATCAAAGAAAAGTGCAATTTCCTTAACAATGATCTGCAAAAAAAAAAAAAAAAA